GATATTTGTAATGTAGTATTTTAACATTTTTTGATTTACTTTTTTTTCAATCTAGAAAATCCGAACAGTGTTTTGAGATGACAGATGTTTCCTATTACAATCCCTTTCAACATACTTTCTGCTGTACCAACTTCAGTTAGGTTCTGACTAAATTGTGAATCCTTTCAGTGATAAAGTTTAAATCAAAGCCATTAATGACAGCTTTTTTGTAATAGCAGATGGAAATCTAGGATTGACTTTCTGAATTTTCATGTCCACTAGAATTTTCAGTTGTGTAACTCTATAATACAGAGAAATATTGAAATCTTAGAAAATTACAGTTATAGCATCAAGCATTAGTTCAGTGTGCATGTGTTTGAGCATCCAGTGGTTCTATTTCTAATTATCTCACATTTTTTAACATCACTGTGGGGCAGAGGTAAGATGTTTAGTTGCATCAATGTGTATGTATGCTTACAGCAGTGGATAAATGAGTAAATAAAACATAATATTTTGAGGGTTTTTTTCTATTTGGATATACACTTTGCACTTTATGATGAAAAAGCCTCTTCCTGCCCTCTGTCAGCCTTTTCTCTTTGCAGTGTTACACATTTATAATGGAAATAGTTTTGAAAGAAGATTCTTGCACTGCATAGATCTTTCTAATATCCTGCCTTTATGGACTTTAAAAGTACTGATCAAGCTTATTTAACATTCTTGTAATTCTTATTTTTTCTTATAAGCAAAAGAATCAAGCTGCTTTTAAGCTGGTCCTTTCTTTGGTCATGTAAGGGATTATAGGACGGGTGGAGTAGCAGGAGACTGGACCTGATGATGCAAGAAGCTTCTTCCAGTCCTGCATTCTTATGCATGTCTGCATATTACAGTAGAGAATAAGAGTAGTTTTTTTGGTATATTATGTACCTAGTATTGTTTTTAAGAATTTTAAACTAGCTTTCTGCTTTAGCATGAAGGTAAGCACTGCTAACCTTAAGAATACTTTTTCCTTACTCAACGGGGGGAAATTTTATTTTATATGATTTGGCCATTTGAAATGAAATTGAATTCTTCCTTCTTGTGCTAATTTTATTCCAAACCACTGACCTCTAGTGGCTGGTTTGCAACTACGAAGCTAAACGTTTTAGTAATGTAACATGCTCCTCATGAGTCTATGGCTACAGGAGAGTCATTTTCCATTTCATTTTTCCAGCAGAATAATGCTTCTTCATGATTTATTTTCCTTTGGCACACAGTAGCTGCTGCTGCTGCTGGGTTGAGTACTGCTGCACCCAGTTCAAGAAACTGCATGTGACTGCTGGTTTTCAGGTAAACGAACTGCATGTGAATAACTGCAAACACTTATCCATGTGCTGGAAATAAAAATATTTAGTTTTAGTTTATGTAGATCTTTGATCCAGTGACCATGAAATAACTTTACAGACCTACATGACTCAGAGTGGTGTTATGCAAACTTCTGTAGATTCACCAGTCTATGCTTTGGAAGAGTCGTTCCCCTCATGCACCTGCCTGCCACAAAGTATTCTCTAGTTTTTCTGTTAATTTAAATATTTTACCTGAAAAACTTAAGGGCTGTTTGGGATCACTGGACACTTTATGTATTCATACTTTTTTTGAACTATCTGTATGTAGCTGCTTGGTGTTAACTGTATATGTGTAGTATCATAAAAAGTACAAAAATAAAGTCTTTCCCTTTTCCCTTCTCCATTTTATGTCCCTTGCTATGCTGTATGAGAGATACACAAGGCAGGATACGATGGGAATCCTGAAGAGTAATTTAAACGATATTAAGTCATTACCATCAGCTCTTGCTGTGGATCTGGGGACATTTCAAGTCTCCTCCGCTGTATGAACCTGAAATATTTAATGAATTTCAGATTAAAAAATATTCAAATTGGCTTTATATTACTTCATTTTTCATATAAGGAACACTAAAATTCTTCACTGCTTATTAGCCTTCACATATCACAGATTTCTTGCTAGGCAGTAATATTGGAGAATTTCATCATAATGGATTGTTTCTCATCAGCTCGAGAAATCCAGCCAGTTACTTAGTTATTTTAAATGAACAGGAACTAGGAAAAAAGTTTCCAAAGGTCTATATTTCCATCCAGTCACCTCTCTTTCTTGATCTGCAAGCAGTTATATGTAAACTTTTCAAGTGTCTCCATAAAACAGGTTCTAAATCTTAAAAGGTTGTTACCACAGTCCTTGTTCTTCCTGAAGACCTGGTAAGGCAACTTAAACTTATAATTTTTTATAGGCAAGGTAATATGCTGTATACAACAAGTTTCTAGAGTTTTTGCAAAAGGAGGCTTGAGGAAATGACTGATATTGTAGACAGCCTCCTTCCTTGTATGAGCAATATACACAGATCTTCACACAACTGGTATATGAGCAACCTCTGTCCTCTAGACAGAGGTTCAGATGGCACAAAAGCCCATGGTATATAGACATAGTACTTTTTTTATCAGTTCAGCATTTAGCAACTTGAATGGGAATGAGATTTTGCATTTTTTTTTAACTGGCTTGATTTTATGAAATAGGAGCTTAAAATAGCCATTGAATAACCATTATTCAAAATTAAACCTTAGGATGCAATTGCAACTATATTGAATGAAAACAAGATCTCACCAACTTGCTTGGGCTGTACATAGTAGTCCTTGCCACAGGCAAAAAGTTGTTAAATGTAGTTTGGATGTGCCAAAATACCCTATCATTTAGAGAGTTTCTCTATTCATTGCTAGTGATTGATAACTAATGGTTAAGATGCTCATAATTAAGGTTGATATTTTTTTCTTAGGAGGCTGCAGCTGCATGCCACGACTCTTGATAATTCATTATCAATTGCTTTATGTACTTGGCTATCCCATGCAGAACAGTCTGTTATTGATGCTCTTTTGCCTGTTTCTTGTTTCCATCAGTTTTCAGTGTTTGTCAATATAAAGGGTCACACAGAACAGTTGATCGTGTAAATCCCAATTGACCACCACACTCTTAGTGTCTATTAATCTATCTGTGACATTTCAGTTTTATTATTTTTCTTCCTGTTTCATATTTACCCCAACAAAATCAGGCAAGGCAAATTCAGTTATTCTGATGGATAAAAGAATATGACATAGTAGTTCCATTTGGTTTTAGAGAGGAAACGATAAACCTAAAGTTAGCATCTCTTCTAGAGTATAGCAGAAACAGGAACTGCAAATGTTTCAATAATTTTTATCTTCTTTAAAACATCTTTATGTGGGGAAAAAAATAGCGAACTCTTACCCTCACGTTTCTTTGCACCTCACGTTTTTTTGCAGTTAGGCTCTTGCCAAAATAACAAGAGGCCAGCAAAACATATATCAACTGCATGTTAGACTCCCAACTAAGAGGTGAATTGACCTCTCCTGTGCTACTTTACAACTTGCAGTCTATTTAGTATTTAACTCCATTGCTGTACATCTGGTACTTAATGATACAGCATCTGTTGCAATACTCCTGATTCATTTGGTATGGCTGCAATTGGACTACTGGGAAGATGGGTGTTAATTATTTCATCCAAGTATTTTACTTCGATCTGCCTCCACTGGGCTTCTAGGAAAACTTGCATTGGCAATGTTACTCAGTAGCCGGGTGGTAAAGATGCGCCAGCAAACCTTGTTCAAAATTTAATTGGGTGTGTTAACAGCGGGCGCCATTATAACTCTCCTCAGCGAGAGGAAGCTTTGTGGATTATCAGGTACATTAATTATCCAAATTCCCTGCCAAGCTAACTTCTGGTTAGCTCCCACGTTCCTCCCAGGGTGCAAATGAAGACAAGGAAGCCTGAGACATTTTCTCAGCATCACGTAAACTAGTATCGAAGCTATTCTGAAAAAAACTTCTATAAAAAAGTGTAATTTGATGCCAGCGGGACTGATTCCAGGCACGGTCCTGAGGCAGGCTGTAGGTGAGCAGAGCAGGAGGAGGTGTCACAGCTGTGCACAGGCAGCCCTTACAACCCTCGAGTGCAGGATCAGCCACAGGGCACTCTCCCTGGAGAAAGACATCGTTTTTAATCAGATCTTGTTTTATCAGCACTGATCCAGGAAGTGCGTTTTAATGGAGGGCTTAGGCTTTCACATAGAAATCATGCAAACAAGTTTAGCATACGTGTTTTAATGTTATCTATGTTCAGAGAAGGGCAATGAAGCTGGTGAAGGGTGTGGAGCACAAGTCTTATGAAGAGCAGCTGAGGGAGCTGGGGTTGTTTAGGCTGGAGAAAAGGAGGCTCAGGAGGGACTTTATCTACAGAAAGGAGGTTGTAGCCAGGTGGGGGTCGCTCTCTTCTCCCAGGTAACAAGTCACAGGACGAAAGGACATAGTCTTAAGCTGTGCCAGGGGAGGCTTAGGTTGGACATTAGGAAGAATTTCTTCACAGAAAGGATGATTAGACACTGGAATGAGCTCCCCAGGGAGATGGTGGAGTCACCGTCCACGGAGATGTTTAAGGAAAGACTAGACATAGCACTTTAGTGCCATGGTCTTGTTGAATCAACTAATTGATTCTGTGATCCTATAAAACCCCACTGTCTTACGTGTTTTTAGCTGTGCTAACAGACTTAGAACGTAATGTATGTTACGCATACCCGTACGCATTATCCCTCTACCAGCAGCAATAAATGAGTAGTTCCTGAGCAGGAGCTTCTCCCGAGGAGGCGGGGGCGCGGTCAGGGCCGAGTTCCCACAGCCCGCCCGGCGGAGCCGCCGCTCCCCAGGGTCAGGCGCGGCCGCGGCGCAGGCGCGGGGGGCGGGGCGGGTGAGTCAGCGGCGGCCGCGGGGGGTCCCGCCCGCCCGGGCCCTGCAGTTCCCCCGCACATCCGGGTCCGCGGCGCCGCCCACCGCCGGCCTCCGGCTACCACCGCCGGCCTTTGGTTACCACCGCCGCCCGGGGCCAGCGGGGCTCCGCCGCCGCCGCGCCGGCCTTGTCCCATGCGCATCGCCGCCCGCCCGCCGGCCGCTGCCGAGCGGCCGCCGCCATGATGCCAGCCCTGGCCGCCCAGCGGCGGGGCTGCCGCGGCCTCTACCGCCTGTACCTGCGGTGCCAGGCGGCGCCGCGGCCCCGCGCCTGCCACGGTGAGTCCCGCGGGGAGCCCCCGGCCCGCCGCACCGGCCCGGCCGGGGCTCGCAGGGAGCTGTGATGGAGCTGCGCTCTCGCCTGGGGCACAGCGAGTGCCGGCATTCCTCCCGAGGCAGCGGCGCTGCTCCCGGCTGCGGGCACCGGCGGGCCGGAAGCGCTGGCTGCGTTCTGCGAATCGGCTTTAAAAAGAAGGGAAAACGTCCAAATTTTTGGACAACAGGAAGGAAAACGCCTAAGTTTTTGTTGCGAGCGCAGGGCCGGGCCCCGGGTGTCCTCGGCCGGGCCGTGGCAGCCCCGTCTGACGCAAGGCGGGCGCGTCATGCCCGTGTTGGGGCCGAAGTTTGCAGGAATTACATAAAATGAAGCGCGGCCTGACAGGGTTTGTGTTGGTATGAGGAGCAAGACCCGGCTTTTCCTTTAGACTACAGATCTCATGACATTTGAATTCTCACCAGTTTTGTCCCTCTTCTTGTAGCCACTGACCGCTGAATTGCAGCAAGTACCCGTTAACGGTTTCGTGCGGGTGTGGATGAGTAAGAAAAACGTCCTCTAAACGTGCTGATGAAGTTTACCCTTTTCAACTGCTGCAGTAACACCAAAGCTTAGGAAACAACACTGCTCATCTTGTGCCATATATTTATTGTAGTGCTTTATAAGTTCGTAGCCAGTAAACTGATCCATTGAGCTGTGTTGAGTTGAGTATTCAGGGCTTTTGTCCCATTTGCGTCAACTGTTAGTCAGTAAGAGCTTATCTGCCCTTTTTGGTGAAATTATTCCTTCAGTAAGGGTCAGGTCAGTGCATGCACACGTGCAGGTGCCTTGGTACTGCACAAGGCTAAAAAAAAAAGGAAAGCTTTTGAGACTTTTACAGAATAAACACTTCTATAAAATATTACCTTTTTTGGGAGCAGTGTATTATTCATATATGAGTGGTCATGCTTTGCATGACTTGATTTACCAGCACTGCTTGATTATTTAAAAAAAAAAAAATTATTCTTTTGGTGAGTGCTTTCCAAAGCAGCCAGTTTCCCTGCTGCATTTCTAGTTGGAGGAGCTATATGCCCTCTCTACAGGAGTGTTTGTGTTCCCTAAAAGAAACTGGTTGCTGATACAGGTTAGTCTGTACTGCATGCAACTCTACTTTTGGCTAGTCTTTTGAAACAGAAGATTGCCTACCTAGGGTGATTTCTCAATGGGCTTTTAGAAAGTGTTTTATACAATATTGTGTACTTTTCTACATAATTTCTGTAGCAAGTGGGTAATGCACACAGTTCAGTTTTTCTTAATTGATAAGCTGTGGTTCATACAGAGGTTTGTACGAAATGGCAGCACTAGCTAGTTTTGTAGCTGTCTGTATTTGTTCTTTTATCAATACTTGGTTTTCAAAGATTTTTGAGGCAGTATGACTATAATATGACTTAATGTATTAGTAAGCCCATCTTGTCAGATAGCTTTGGTTTTTTGGGTTTTTTTTTGGTTTTTTTTTGGGGAGGTTGGTTTTTTTTTTCTTTTTCTTTTTTTTTTAAACATCCTAAGATCATACACAGGTCTTGGGAAAAATCCATATCCATACTGTATTGTATGGGTAAAAATCCCTAGTGTTAGAATGAAATTTAAAAGTGGATGTTTGAAGAGAGGCAGTGAAAGCATGGTATATACTCCAATTTTGCTTTTCCTTCTTTTTCCTTCTGAAATGGTTGTGTGAAACAGCTTTTTTTCCTCCCCTTGTTAGGATGGAAAGCTTCAATGAAAAGTGGGAGCCTGTCTTATATTCTGCCATGCAATCGCCTGCCCATGCAGTTGATGAGTCAAGTGAGAGTTTACACATCCAATGGTCAGAAAAAAGATCTTGGATCAGAAGATACAAATAGATCAGCCCGTGAAGAAACACTAAATAAGGCTGAAACAGGTAGTACTAAGCTAAAATAAGGAGTATTTATAAAAATGTAAAAACTTAATGTCTTTAGTGATAACTTTTTTCTTTCAATTGTGTGATATTATGGTTGCAGATTTCTTAGTATTTGTTGTTTGTGGGTGTTTATATATGAATTTCAAATGCATAAGCGGGGAGGAATGCTGAAATTTATTTGTTTGGCATTTTGGTATTTACAGGATTTAAGTTTAGAGGAATCAAATTTAAAGTGGCCAGGATAAAATGTGGATGTTGAAAGGCTTACATAACTTAAGGGATAAGAAATGGAATGTGTTACTCATCTTTCATCACTTTTCTTGTGCATTTGAATTTTTTTTGGTAGTATTTCAGGTATGTTGTGTGAAATGAACTAATGATAGAGGTCGAATGAGTGTGACTGTTGAGCGTTGTGGCTTCTCCAGGCCAGGCTATAAATGACTGGTAAAGAAGGTTGAGCTGATTCATCTGCTGGAGCTTTCTAATCTGGCACTTGTTAGAACTGCATTGTTCACATTAAACATTTGATACATTATACATAACCTGGCCCTCCTTGCTGTTCAGTTCAGTTGTCAGTCTTGTGCTTGATAGGTGCTTGTGAAATTCAGAACTGTATTGTCCTTGCTCCATCATAGCATCCTCTATTTTCGATGCTTATTAACTGTAGGACTGCACAGATACAGGCTTGGAAGACTACTGTGCTTGAGATAACAGATGCTTTTTAAAATGAGAGCTATCTTTCTTTGTGCTTTTGTCTTCAACCAAGTGGTCTTCTAAAGAAAATTTCCTTCTCTTCGTTGTCAGGGTAGCAGATATTCCTTCCTTCTTTAGTAACTTGTAAATTCCTGAGGCTTGCAACAGTCTTTAAAAGCTGGTAACTGTAGCCAGCTAAGAGTATTACATTTCTCATGTTTGGAAGTACAAAAGTGAATCTTAAATGTTGTTCAGTTTTGAAGGTTCTATCATATCAATCTCTACTTGTCTGAAAAACAGTGACTGTGAATTGAAGTATTCCATATCTTTTTTTCTCAGTGATGCACTATGATTTTGTTTAGTCTATAAGCTGAGGTAGTCTTCAAAAGGGCACTTGATGTACATAGATATCTGTGCGTAGATATAAATCTTAATAATTTTGTGCCTCTTTTTTCCCCCTCTGAAATCTTGTGACCTGATCTTTTGTTAAATGGTGTTTGTGATATTTGTTTTAATGATAGAAATGGTTGTACACATTTTTTTGAAAAGACGATGCCACTCAGTTTTTCCTAAGCAGTCTTAGTGGAAACTTTTTTCATGCATCAGCTGTCTGGTGTTTTAAACTATGTAAGAAAAGAAAGTAAAGGAACAACAAATGGATTTTTTAGTTTTGTTTTCAAGTCAAACAGTAACCAATAGAGATGACTGTTTAAAGAAAGCTATTTATTTATGGTGCAGCCTTATTTGTTGTGTAATAAGATCAGCTGCATGAATTTATATGTGTTATTTTTCCAAGAAAGTATATTTGAATTGTTATTAGTTGTAGTCCTCAATTGCTATTAGGGCATTAACTAATTGCCTGATGGAAAGATAGTTATGTAGTCCAACCTTCAAGAATATCTGATCTTTGAGTAGTTTGAGTAGCATGCTAAGCTAGGAATATCACATTAATTAATGCTAACCTGCTTGAAAAATCTTTATTTTTTTAATATATCACTTTCAGTGATGTCATTTTTAATTTTGTTAATGATTATGGATGTGTGGCAAACCTCCAGTGTTAGAGAGCGGTAGGGCACAAAAGAGTGGATATGTTGGTTTGATGTGTTAGAATTATAAGAATTTTGTTCTGAAAGCTATGTCAAGATATATGAGACAAGGATGCAATATTTGTTTGTGTTTTCAAGTAGTACTTCTGGTTTCTAAATAGAAATCTCTCTGAAAGTACTGGATTTTATAATTTTCCAAATATTAAGATTAAATTAACCAGTGTAAATTATATTTTATTGGGTTTTTTTTATGGAATCATATCCTCAAGTTTCAAAACCAGCTAAAATACTTTTTCATTCTAGCTCCATCTTGTTACGTAGGAGTTGTGGATTTTAGTTTAAATATTCCGTATTTTAAGGAGCTTACTATTTGTAAATGAAGAAGCTTCAGTCCCTTAAAATTGAATCCCAGCTTGAATGCTTTGAGACGCTCTGATATACCGCAGCCATAAGCTGTAAAAACTTGTCCCAAACTATAAGTACACTGTTAAAATATTTTTTTTAAATTCAGAATACTTTCTGAAGTATGTTGGAAGTTGGTGCTCTTCTTCAAGCTACTAGGAGTCTATTGATCAATGCTGTATTAAATGTCTAATTTTTTTTTGGTTGTTTTTTTTACTGTTTCTGTCTTTTGAGAGTTTTAAATGTTGGAAATCTACCAAATATATTTTTAATGGTCAGGGTGAAAAGCAATATTAAGATATATTCTTATGTTGTTATGTCAACCAAAGTCTTTACTTCCATATTTACAGTGATCTTTACTTTTATTTTACAGGACAAGATACAACCAATGCAGGTCAAAAGCAGTCTTCACCTAAACAGCCAATTCAAGTAAAAGGTAAAGAAATGTTTACTGCATTGAAGCTTTGCTGCTGTTTACTAGTAGTCAAAAAAAGTGTGTAAGGAAACTGGTTCCTTTTCAATTGGGTAAAGAAGTTACGTGAATAACATTTTTAAAAACACATTTGTATATCAGATTTGTTTGATACCCATTGGTTTAAAAAGGGTTCCTGAAAGATCAAATATAGGAGTATTCCTTCTAATTACTCACTCTTCTGTGTTTGTTTTTAATTGTTTCATTTAAGCTCAGAGTTCATCAGGAAAAGACTAATTTATTTTCTCATGTGTTATCATAGTCTGTTCTCCTTGCATGTTTTTAGGCATGTCCATTCACCATCTCAGACTTAATGTGGCTAAGCTGAATACTTGATCTTCCCCTGTTCCTTGTTCTAAGTCTTCATCTGTTCTTTCTTAGTACTGAGTTAATCTAATCAGTGTTGCTTCTAAATATATTTTGACCACAGGAAGTGCCTAATCTGAGTCCTGTAATATTCCCGTTTGTGTCTGTAGTAATGTGGTGGGTTTGACACTGGCTGGACACTCTCCTCTGTATCACTCTCCTCTGCAGTTGGACAGGGGAGAGAAAATATATTAAAGGCTCATGGGTTGAGATAAGGACAGGGAGAGATCGCTCACCTAGTGCTGTCACAGGCAAAACAGATTTGACTTGGGGAAAGTTAGTTTAAATTATTGCCAGTCAAATCAGAGTACAGTAGTGAGAAATGAAAACTAGATCTTAAAACACCTTCCCCCAGTCCTTCCCAGGAATTAATCTTACTCCCAAGTTTCTCTGCCTTTTCACCCCCAGTAGTGCAGGGGGATGGGGACTGGGAGCTGGGCGTAGTTCATAATGCATTGTCTCTGCTGCTCCTTCCTCCTTGGGAGAAGGACTCCTCACACTCTTCCCCTGCTCCAGTGTGGGGTCCCTCCATGGGAGAGAGTCCTCCATGAACTTTTCCATCTTGAGTCCTTCCCACAGGCCGCAGTTCTTAATCAGCTGCTGCAGTGTTGGTCCCTCTTCCATGGGGTGCAGTCCTTCAGGAACAGGCTGCTCCAACGTGGGGCCCCCTGGGGTCACAAATCCTGTCAGCAAACCTTTTCCAGTGTGGACTTCCCTCTGCATGGGGCCACAGGTCCTGCTAGGAGCCTGCTCCAGTGTGGGCTTCCCACAGGGTCACAGCTTCCTTTGGGCATCCACTGCTCCAGTGTTTTATGTCTTCTATCAGGGATACAGCCTCCCTCATTGTGGTTCTTCACCATGGGCTGTAGAGGAACCTCTGCTCTGGCACCTGGAGCACCTCCTCCCCTTCCTTCTGCACTGACCTTGGTGTCTGCAGAGCTGTTTCTCTCACATGTTCTCACTCCTCTCTCTTGGCTGGAGTTGCCATTGTGCCGGATGTATTTTTCCCCTTGTTAAATGCATTATCCCAGAGGTGCTACCACCGTTGCTGATGGGCTCAGCCTTGGTCAGGGGCAGATCTGTGCTGGAGCCAGCTGGCATTGGATCTGTCAGACACAGTGGCAGCTTTGGCAGCTTCTCACAGAAGCCACCCCTGCAACACCCCGCTACCAAACCTTGCCATGCAAACCCAATACAAGCAAAAATATATACTTTTGTCTTCAGTTACATTGTTTAAAAATGTAAGTGGGTAAAATAAGAACATAACTTTCATGTTTTTAATTTGTCATGACTTGATTTCATTCCATCTTTATTTTGATAGTTTCTATTCTTATGTTGTGAGAATTATGCTATTAAAACTTGCTTTTGATCACTCCTAGCCTTCTGTGTATCAAAAGTCCTTCCAAAGTCCTCCCTGTCTTTCTCAAATTTAAAGAAACATCAAATAATAATAGTTTTTCCTAACATTATCAGTGTCTATGTATATTTTCTGTGCACTTTTGTCTACATCCTTTATGTCTATTTCTTTAGGTTTATTGTCACGTAGTTGCATGCAGGGGGATAATACAAGGTAGATAGGAGAAATTACTGTGAAATTATTGTGAAAATAGATAGATCTTTTAGTAAGAAGAGTTTTCCTTCTGTAGATTATAGATGCACAAGGAACAACATTTAGGTTAAGGATTTTGATAATGCCTAGGAAGTGGAATTCTAATCTTAAGATGGTGCTCTGATCCAAATGTTATTAAGACAATAACATTTTAAAGGATCTTAAAAAAGTGTGCTTTTCTAAGTGTTTTATTTACATCATCTTTTATTGAACTTTGTCTTTCTCTTGGAAATACCAAATGGATTTTTTTTCCCCCACATTTATTGTGAGTATTATGCAGTTATTTGAACTTAGGAGTAGGATTGTTGAGATATTCTGCAATGTACAATTATAGTAATTTATCTTAGTGAAATTTGGGGCCTCTGGTGGTCTAGTGGTTAGGGTGCAGGACTCTCACCGCTGCGACCCGGGTTCGATTCCCAGCCCCCGGGCAGATGGAGCTCGTCAGCCCTGTAAGGCAATCCATCTAAGAGAAGGTCACTCTAAACAAACCTACGTCCTGGGGACCTCACTGCCACTGTCCAAGCTTGCTCGGCCCCGGCAGATGAACCTCAGGATTAAAGGGTGGGCTCAGTTCAGCGCACGCTGTGTCTCACCTAAAAAATCCACTGTGCAGGCTCGAAGGGTTAATGACCTTTCCCAAATCTTCACTCGCGAAGACCGGCCATTATATTATCTTAGTGAAATTTACCTTTGTTTCTGAAAGATGGGTTAATAAGTGTTTAATAAATTCACAAGTTACTTTCTAGTAAGGTTAATACGATTTGGGTATGTATCTGTTTTAAATAAGAAAAGATAGGAAGCATTCCTGATTAAATATTATCACCCTGTTCTAACCTTAGTAAATGAGGGACTGTTTTTAGGAAATCTCAAAGTTTTTGGTTTTTTTTGTCACTTTTCACTCAGGAGCATTGTGGGATGAATGTGATTACTCAGGTACTTAAAAAATTGTTCAAGTTCAAACCGGATGAGAGAAATCAGATTATTATGATAAATATTAATACTGTGCTGTTAGTGCATTGTTGAGTGTCAAGCAATACATTTTGCCATTAAGGTTTCAAAACTCAGAAGTATTTTTTCCTGGAGTTCTACATTGTCTTTTCTCAAAGTCTTTAGAAGCAGTATCTTTCTCTAACTATCCTGTGACATAAGTAGTAGTTCTGGACTACCTAGAGAAATCATATCAGTCCTGTGATATGCAGGAAGTTCATGCATGCTCTAAAGTCTTCTCATGGGTAGAATTTGAGCTTTTTGTTTACAGTTGTGTTCTGTGATGTTATATCCATCAGAAAACATAACTCTTCTTCCAGTGAGCATAATGTTTTTAATAGATGTGAGTGTATAGTGACTTACATTTGAAAATAAGATGAAGTTAAGGCATAAATTTAAAATTCTGTTTATAATTTTTCTAAATATGTGTGGTATTCTTTTCTTTGTGCGTGAAAATCTGATGTGATAAAAGTACATCTTCTAGACATACAGAGAAGTATAAATAAAGAATATATGTTTTTGCTATAAATGCCCAATGGTAAGTGTACTAATTTTGAAAGTAATAGTTGAGAACAATGACATATACAATCTGTCTCATTTCTCTGTATGGTCTGCACAGGTCAAAAATCTGATTTGCAGAAGGTGGAATTGGTTAAGTAATGGAAAAAATTGAAATGCAGCTATCTGTTTCTATTTCAGTTGGGTTAATAAGTCTTTGATAAATTCACAAGTTACTTTTTAGTAAGGTTAATACAATTTGGGTATGTATCTGTTTTAAATAAGAAAAGATAGGAAGCATTCCTAGAGCAGGTGTTTCCAAATTGCCATATTTAAATGCTATCTGTGTAGCCAAGCACCATCTCTGACGTTGGAGAAGTAGCTGACAGTGGCAGTTAGGTATGCGGAGTGTTTGAGCATCCTGAACTACAACTTAACAAGTAGCATTTTTGGAGATAAATCATTCTACTCTTACTCATTTCCACAATGAGGAAGATTCCTTTCTCTTCTCTGTAGATTTCTGTATCACTGGCAAGCATTGTTTTTCGCATGTCACCTTTGAGGTATGAGACTAGACTGAATTAGTTTTTGGAGTTTCTGCTGTATTCTTCATGAGTGATTTAACTTGCTTATCTGTTTCTGTTTTTAAGTGAAAGCAGTCCTTAAAAAAAGAGAGTACGGACCAAAATACACCCAAAATAACTTCATCACTGGAGTCAGAGCAATAAATGAATTTTGTCTTAAGTCCAGGTATGATGGGTATGATGAGTTTGAGTTGAAATTTAAATTCTGAATATTTGTTCATATGTACAACAAAAGTAATTGTGATTGTAGAGTGATTTGGCAGGACAACTTTTTTTAAGTGTTTTTGTGGTATACATAATTTTAAGTGGCTGAAGTTAGTTCTTTTTTACTTAGTGTTACAGTGGATTAGGAGCCTGCACTGAATTTGCATGTTTCAATAGTTGCTTCTTAAAGTAATTTATTTGTACTTATATGACCATAAATCTAGCTGGGGGGAGACCAACTCCTAGAGCAGCTTTATGGGAGGGATGTCAAATAACTCTTGATTCAGCATTTTGGGGTCATGATGGTTTGATGTGAACATCTCTAAAAGATCAGTGGAAACTTCATGTTACGTGAGGTCTGTAATATGGAATAAAATATAATTTGGTTTGCTGTAACCTAACTATTGTTACTTGATTCATGTTTACTGCCTTTTACTACATGCCATACCTGCCAGCAGGTCTTACTGAGTATTGTTTTAGGTGAGGTATCTGTCAGATTTCATGCATGTTATGTATGTGACCCATATTAAATCTAAAGGCTTAGCAGCTTTGTTTATAACTTTTGTGCTGTTGCTGTTCCTCCCCATTTTTTACTTATACTGTCTGTCACTATAATTAGTCTTTGCCAAGGATACAGTGACAAATAATGGTTGGTCCTCTGCATTATATTTATCATAACTAGTTAAAGTTTTGCTGGATTGACCAAAAGGGATAAGAATAAAGAAAAAAAAAAAAAAGAAAAAAGGACTAGATAATTTGTGGGGCTAAAAATTAGATCTTCTGTTGTATTTAAAAAAAAAAAATCCTTAATGCTTTTCAGTGTAGATGACCTAATGTGTTAGCCAGCACAGGAAATTAATTTGTTTCCCAAAGTAGCTTTGTTACCTTCAGCCTTTTGCAGCTTGTGCTGTGTGTGTAGGTTTTGGGGTTAAATTTCCTAACTTTTCTTGTCACATGACTTCTGACGCCTGTTTAGAGATGCTAATTCATTAACCCTCTTGTCTAGCACGTGCACACTATCAATTACATGCAGATAATTTATTGGATGTTTTATTATTTAATGTTATTACTTTGTCTTCAGTGTATAGTATTTCATAGTGTGTGGACATGATGTGAAAAACGCAATGGTTTTCAATAGTATCATGGAGATCACTTGCTTCATGTGGTATATATGTTCTCTTTGACAGAAGTAAACAACTTCACTTTTTTTGTATAGCAGATTAGTAATATCAAAATTGTGGAACATCACCCAGATATAAAAGTCAAATTAGAATAATATGAACCTTTTCCTGCACTAAACTCTTTGTCCACTTTGTTTAGTGATTTAGACCAGCTGAGGAAAATTAAACGACGAAGTCCCCATGATGACACTGAGACTTTCACCGTATACCTGAGATCAGATGTAGAGGCAAAGTAAGAGCATTTTTATGAAGGAAAATGTTTGAATTATTTAAAATGGATTAAATGAGAGAGAGAGAGGAAAAAAAATTTCAAAAGTCAGGTGTGCAATGTGAAAGGGAAATAATGTTTTCTATTTTCTATATGAACAGATTTTGTATCCTAATTATTGTAATAATTACGTTGTTATGTAATTATATTATATAAAATTGGAGGGTATGTTTTTGTGCTTGTATTCAGCCCCCTCTTGCTGAGTTTTTTATTGTGTTCTGTAGTCTGCGGGGGTTCTTATCCGAAAGAATACTTTGTTCTGCTTTAGGAAAGGCATTTTTAATGTGGTCAAACTGAAAAAAAAGTTGCATGAAGAGGACCATTGTTAAGTTACTTTTACTTCATTCAGGTCTCTTGAAGTTTGGGGTAGTCCAGAGGCTCTTGCCAGAGAAAGAAAACGGCGTAAAGAGGCAGAGATCAAGTACAGAGAAAGTGAGTACGGAGTTTTCAAATAACTTGTAATGTAAACAACAAAGTATGATTGTTGGAAATCCACCAGATAGTGTGTTATTTCCCTGAGAACATCTACATTTGGAATTAGCAATTGTTTATTAGGTTTTATAGCATAATGTTAGAATAACATGTTATGATCTATGCAGATACAGTCTGTTACTATCTTACAATTTATCATCTTTGTGCTATAGCAAGAATATACCTTCAGTTGAGATCTATAGTCATACTCTTTTGGGGGGGGCTTTCAATTTTTAGATGGTAGTTTACATTTTCAGTGAGTTTGCATTTTTTTCCTGATTTAGAATTTTGAAAATACTTAAAACTGATCCAAATCTCTATACCATACCATTACTTATTTATTTTTCCTCTAAAATGAATTCAGCTTGCCTTTGTGTTTCAGAAGGGGAGAAATAGCCCCAAATTGTCTTTTTTTACTTAATATTATTGTTTTTACCCGTGCTGGTATTACCAATAACAGATAGAGTCAAATCAGTAGTTTTTAATGTATTTGGATCTGTCTAGTCAGTTAAAATCACAGGAGAGGCAATGCTGCTTCAAGGTACTTAGTGAAGTTGTACGCCTTAAAATTAGAGGTCCTGTCAATTTCTTTAAAACAGTTGTGCCGTAGGAACACCCTTCCAGTAAAAAGATTAGAACTGCAGGCACCTGTTAAACTATCTGTATGTCTTTGTACTGAGAGTGCAGTCAGTAGCTTCAAAATTTTTATTGACCTGCAAAATAATTATTGGATTGTGCTGGTTTAAGAGTTAACCAGCAGGGGAAATGAACCCAACTCAAAGGAGAGATTATAAGTCAGAATAACAATTTATTAAAATAATACAGTAAGTACAATCATACAAACAAACCATTGGTCCTAACCCACAAAACCCAAATGTATAACCCAATACCCTGGGGCATGAACAAAGTGGTGTTCCTTGGGCCCCGCTTGAGTCCAAAGTAAAGGGAGAGGGGAAAAACCTGCTGGTGGGAGAGCTGTTGCAGTCTGGTCAAAAGTGGTGATTGCAGTCCAGTTGAGGGTGGTGGTCTAAGTCTGGTTGAGAGCAATGAGCTGCAGTCTTCCTCTGGATCCCAGGAGTGGTTGAAAATGTTCCAAGACTCCAAGATTATATATCCTCCAGTTCAGGCAGGAATGCTCAGTACTTCCCTCAGGACGGGGAGTTCCACAAAGGGTGTGAGGACAAGAGCATCCTCCTATCTCACAGGCCTCTTAACACCTAGTTTATAGCCTGAGGAGTCAGGCTGTATGGGCAGAGGGTGTGAATAGTCTATTGACAACAGTTTCTGGGAAATGGCATGGAAGGCTATAGAATACACAGTTTTGGGTTACACCCATACCATGATGAACTGGTCTCAGTTGTCCTAACTAGGACATGGATATAAATAAAATGCCTGAATTTGGTGAAGTGTATTCTGAGTTTTTTCCTTCTGTGCATCATCCTTTGTTGGTATAAATGGCAACAGTGTATAGGATCATAACATTGTATTTGGCATTTTGCATGAGTGTATAACAATGTGTGTTTCTGATTAACAATACCAAAGGAGAAATTTTTTTACACTTAAGATAGATCATGTAGCTCTTATTAGAAGTTGGCTGCTGCATAAAAAAAGTAGACTTAAATTCCTGAAACTGCTGGTTACTAGTACATATTTATGATAATAATTTTGTATTGCAGATCTATTTAGAAACCAAAGGCTGTTGTGGGAATACAGGGAGTTCTTTGGAAATACTAAGGTAAGGATGTTTTCAAGTTTTTGGCTAGAAAAGTGTCATGAGATGTACTATGACACTTTTTGAAGGAAAATTTGTGTAATGGTTGCATAAGCTTAACTAACTGAATATTATAGGAACATTTATTTGCATTGTAATATACCAGATCTATCTCTGATTGTAATTCAGTAGTAAATGTTATGATGACAGTTTAAACGGGTTCCTACTGCAACAGTGTAAACCACCAGTAAGTTTTTTTTTTTTTCCAGTTGGCTTCTTATCAGAATTGTAGCTATACTTGTGATTTCATGTATAACCTATTAATATCTATAGCAAATATATTGTTAATTTAAAGAAATTAAATAAGTTTCTTAAAGAAAGGACCCCAAAAGATTAATACTTTTGTCTATGCACTACTGGCCCTTCTGCTTTGCTTAAGCAGATACATGCCTGAGATCCTGGTGCTCTGCTGTGTGGAATGATTTCATAATTGTTCTGCTGCACAGCTGGTGCCTGGCCTTATGGCTGCAGTGGCCTCTGCTGGAGACTTTGTTGGTTGTTAATTTTATAGCCGTCCATCTGTTGAAATATATAAGACCCAACTGCAGTTTGGCTGAACATTCAGTAGAGAATTAGTTGTCTTCAAGGATTGTAGCTTCACTTCTGCAATACAGAGCATTGCAAAGTTTTTTATTAAATAATTTGTGTGGTAGGTGTCTCATGAGGTCAAGATTTAGTTGTTTAATAATCTGTTATTTCTTTATGTAGCCACGCTCCAGTACAGCAACTATGTTTTTCAAGGGACCAGGGAAGGTGGTAATGGTAGCTATTTGCATGTAAGTAAAAAAAATATTTTGTTTATGCAAGTATAAAGCAATTTATTTTTATTATCCTGGAAATAGAAACAGTGTGTGTATTTAAGATAAAGATATCTGTATGTCTGTAACTGAAGTTAATAGATTTGTTTGTTCATTGTTGATGGGAGAGTTCATGTGAATACATTCATCAATATATATACAGATCAGTTATTGAATAAATGTCTGATGCGAAAAGAGCAGATTTTTTTTGTATTGGAGACTAAAGTTTATTAAAGTAAAATTTTGAAGGACATGAAGGGACAGTAAAGCTGTCCTTTTTTTCTTGCTCCTTCTTGAGAGGAAGATTTTCATACATTTGAAACAGTCTTCTGCATAACCAACAGAAAAGAATTCACTTTTCTCTTTAAGCTGTTATTTAACTTCTTTCTTCTCTAATTGAAAAAGGGATATTTTAGGAGTTTTTTCCCTTTCACGTTTTAAAAGTTTGAATGAAACAAACTAATGTAAAGCAAATGTTCACAGAGACTATCTGGCATGAAATAGGGAGAAGCGTCTTAAATTTCTCTCAGGAAATGATGACTAAAACTTATTTGCCGTGAAACCTTATAGTTTTAAAATAAATTATTTTTATAAAAGCTATTTATTTGCTAAGACACTGTTGATATAAGAAAGCAAAATACAAACAGAGGAAAATGCTTGTTTTGGCACAGGAAACAAAACGAATTTGAGCAGGAAGTAACTTTTTAAGGTCCTACAAAACTATATTCTTTTACTTGGGGAGTTAAAATTCAAATCTCGCTTGACTGAAAACCTCCCACTTTATTGAGTATTCTACTAGTAACTGTTCAGAGCCTTCTAAGTTAAAAACATGTAAGAATTGCTAGTACAGATGTTTCTAATGGAAAAAAAAGAGGGGGTGTTGTGATCATTTCTACCTCTTTCTGTTTCTTATAATG